CAAACTCCAGAAAGGCAACGAGCGAGGCGTAGAGCGCCGCCACGCGGGAGTCCCGCAGGCCGAGTAAAATCGACGGGCGAGGCTGCAGGTCGAGGAGGAGGAGGCCTTCGCAGAGCTCCTCGCGCAGCCGCTCCGCGTCGAGGGCCGGGGGCGCCAACAACACCCCCTCCATCTCCTGCCCCCCTCTCCCCTCGAGGGCGGGGAAGGGGGGAGGGAGATTTCGCGAGGCCGTCAGGGCGTCGTCCTCGATCGAGCGAAGCGCGGCGAGGCGGGGGGCGAGCATCGGCAGCTTCATCCGCCGCCGCACGCGGGCCCCCCGCTCGAGGCGATGCAGGGCCAAAACCCATTGTTTGTGGTTGGCGGCGTGGCTTCCGTCGTACTCCAGGGCGGTCTCCAGCAAGACCCGGGCGGGGTCGCCCTCGAGGGCGACGACGACCGGCCCCCGCGCCTCCGCCCGCAGCCCCGCCACCTCCTTTTCCGCCCTCGAGTTGACGTAATTCAGCGCAATTTTGCCGTTGGCGGCCTTGAAGGTGAGCGTCTTGCGGCCGGAGCGGAGGCAGGTGAAGACCGCCAGCCCCCCCCCGTGCGTGGTGAGGGCGGTGAGGAAGTAGACCCCGTTGAGGTGCCGCTCCGCGGGGTCGGTCACGTTGAGGGTGAAGTTCATTTGATACCACTGCGCGGACTGATGGCGGCGGAGAATCCGCTGGACGAGGCGGCCGATCTCGGCAAGCCGCTCGCTCTGATGATTGCGCCCGTCCTTGAGCAAACGCAGCGCGGCGAGCAGGACCAGGCGGTCGCCCGAGTGCAGGGCGAGGTAGACGCTCCACCACACGCTGCTCAGCGGGGAAAGGCGGCGGTAGAGCGGCATGACGTGGTAGAGCCCCCGACGCGTGGCGGAAAGAACCACCTCACGAACACGCGTCGGGCCTTGATAGATCCCGCAGCTCACCGCCAGATCCGCGAGCTCCAGCGGTGTCATACGAAAGACACGCGCCAGTAGATGGAGGAGGGTGTTCGCGCAGAGAGAAGTTGGCAAAATGAGATCCATCGTTCGTAGAAATTCAGGGGTGGAGTCGGAGATCCACAGCGAAAGAGAGGGGGGATCCGCAGGGGAGCTGCACGTTGACGGGTTTATGGCAGTCTTTTCTTTCATATTACCGCTGTTGTTGGTTCCGTAGCTGTCGAGTTCCGCTGCGTAGCTACGAAGCACCTCGTCGAACTTCGCCTCACTGGCAGGACTGTCTTCACTTTCGCCGACTTTTGATATGGGCCCACGGTAGGCGCGGCGGTGCGGATAAACCCCCATCGCATCTAACCAGGACCCGATTTGCTGGGCGTGATAAGCGACAGACTGCGTGGAGGATGTTGATAACATGGCAATCGGTCGCGAATCCACCCGCCGCGCGAGCTCTAGCACCACTATCATCGCTATTTGTTCCGGGCAAAGCTCCGGGAAGTGATACGCGGCGTACGAGGGCGCTGGACGCCGGCCACTACCTACCACTCGCGCGAAAGGCATTACCGTTTGCTGCTGTTGCTGCTTTTGCACGCGCGATGTAGATTTAAAATCACACCCGGCACATAAGGAAGAGCGCAGGGAGGCGATCTCTTCTATTCTTCCCTGCACGCTATCGGGATACCACAGGACCTTGGGAACGGCGCCGATTTCTGGGCTGCCCTCCGCCGCGAAGAAGGCCGTGACGATCGTCATGACGTTTATGATGTACCGCGTTGTGAGGTGCGTGCTTTCGAAAAAATTCGGCAGTGCGATACCGAGAAACTTCGCGTGGAATTCGACATCCACCCACCGCAGCTCCTCCCCATTGGCATCCTCGCTCGCCTGGGTGTTGCCGTGGCGGCTGTCATCCGCCATACAAAACAGCGGAAAAGGCACCGTGTAGCGGTGGAGCAGCAAACTAAGGTACAACGATGCCGCGCGGGTCACGGCGATCCCCTGCGGGCGGCTCCCCGGAAGCGCCAAAAGCCCCGCCATGTCGTAGGCCACCCGCAGCACCGTCGGGAGGTGTTCGCCCTTCGGCAGCCCCCCCTCCCCGTTCGCATAACCCCCACAGACCCCCTCGAGGCGCTGGAGCCAGGCGCAGGCGAAGGAGAACGCGGCGACGGCGCCGGTCGCCCCCCCCCCCCCCTCCCCCTCCCGTCCCCGGCGGCGCCGGGAGGGGGGCCTCGTCCTCGTCGCTGTCGTCGTGGGGGCCGCGGTGGAGGTCCTCGACGATGTCGTTGAGCCGAGTCG